AGTCCAGGTTCATTACCCACAAAACCAATATTCCCTATAACATCTTTCATAATCTGACATCATGCTAAACAGTAATTACCTCAATGCTTCACCTCGCTCCTCTCTTTGCGCTGTCACTGAGTGCCGACGTTAGTCTGAATAACAAGCTGTTACGCACCTACTCGCACGGCACGATCCAGGCATTTATTGACAACGCTGATTAAACGTGTGCATGTGAGCGCGGGTCAAAGGGAAGCCTATAAACATGCTACTTGTGATGATTAATGTTTACCGCTGTGGCTCTCTTCTTAAAACTAGTTGATTTTGAGAGAGTCCGCTGAATATAACAAAATTATATTCCAAAAAGCATAAATATGCATAACACAAACAAATATCGTGTAAAACAGGTCTTTTTAATTGCACACTGACCTGTTTTATGGTCTGCCATCCTCGGATCGTTTGTTGCGGTGCATTTTGAGATTGCCTTGAAGGGCACATGTGATGCTGGCTTAAAATTTGGCCTAAGTAAGTATCTTAGAAGCAGCATAATCATACCTATAGGCAACAATTTAAAACATCATGGATAGTAATACACACAATTTATAACAAGCTTTACATGCGTATTATGCCTTAGAATGCTGCCTATGTAGAAAAATAAATCATCTTAAACAGTCTAAAGAGGTTAGCTGGTCTGCCAGTCCACCTAAATGACTAGTCTGGTCTGCTTGGTTGGTTTTAGAGATATTTTACACACTTGGAGATTTAAAAGATAGTAGATAATAGTATTGATTTGACTGCACTGATGCTATTGTTTGAGAACAAAACTGAACTAAATTGAGCCTAATAATGACAACTGTTTTCTGTAGAGATGCTTTAAAGCTAAATCAAATTTGTACTAATACATACACTTTGCAACAATGACACTGTTATTGAACTGAATTGAGTCAACACTCAATTGACTTGATCTGACACTATTGTCTTTTGTAGAGCTGCTTTATAGCTGAAATTATATTTATTTCGTAATTGAATGAACTTTGCACTATTATTGAACTAAACTGAATCAACACTGAACTGAGTAATCATACTATTAACTTCTGTAGAGCTGTGTTTGCTTCATAACTAATGAACTTTGCTACATTCACAGTTATTGAACTGAATCAACAATGAATGAAATTGAGCTGAATAATAACACTATTGTCTTTTTAAATCTGCTTTGCAGCTGAAATTGTATTTGTTTCATAATAACTGACGAACTTTGCAACATTAAAGGGTTAGTTCACTCAAAAATGAAAATTCTGTCATTAATTACTCACCCTCATGTCGTTCCAAACCCGTAAGACCTTCGTTCATCTTCGGAACACAAATTAAGATATTTTTGATGGAATCTGAGAGCTGTCTGACCCTGCATAGACAGCAACGCAACTAAAATGTTCCCAAGTCCAGAAACGTAGCAAGGAGATCATAAAATAATCCATGTGACTTCAGTGGTTCAACAGCAATTATACGAAGCTACGAGAATACTTTTTGTGCGCAAAAGAAAAAAAAATGACGACTTTATTCAACAATGAATCTCCTCCGCATCACCCTGGCGCCATTTTGGAGAATATCCGCTGGACTAAACAACGGATACGCTGTTTCCATTCAGACCAAATCACAACAACGTAGGAAGCAGATTTGGTGTGACGCAGCTGACACAGAACAGCATACGTTGTTTAGTCCAGCTGATACTCTCCAAAATGGCGCTACAGAGTGATGCGGATGTTGAATAAAGTCGTTTTTTTTTCTTTTGCGCACAAAAAGTATTCTCGTAGCTTCGTATAATTGAGGTTGAACCACTGATGTTACGTGGATTATTTTACCGATCTCCTTGCTACGTTTCTGGACTTGGGAACATTTCAGTTGCGTTGCTATCTATGCAGGGTCAGACAGCTCTCAGATTCCATCAAAAATATCTTAATTTGTGTTCCGAAGATGAACGAAGGTCTTATGGGTTTGGAACAACATGAGGGTGAGTAATTAATGACAGAATTTTCATTTTTGGGTGAACTATCCCTTTAACACCATTATTTGTATGTTTATTACTGTGAAGATGATTTGATACAATCGGTATTGTATTATAAAGCTATATATAAACAAATGTGCCTTGACTTGTCAGCCGGTCAGGTTGGGAGACCAGCTAAACCATCGTAAACCAGCTAAAGCCAGTGAACCACATTAGGCTGGCTTATGCTATTCTTTTAGCAGGGCTGTGAAAAAGAGTAATTGAAATGTGCATCTAATGCTGTTTTCCATCGATTTCAACCTCGGCCTATTGTGGCAGGTCTTGCACATTCATAGAGCGCATTTCATAGCAGTAATTTAATGTCAATGTAAATGATAATCTAACAGCACTGTACTAATAACGTCCCACTGAGACAGCAGTCAACAGAGAGAGAGTGTGTGTGTGTGTGTGTGTGTGCGAGCGCGTTTGTGAGTGTGACAGGCCTCCTACGCTGATTCATCCTCCCTCTCGCACCCTCCTATGGGCATAAACCATTATACATTTGCACGGTATGTGCGTGAGCATGTGTGAGCATGTGTGTGACCGTGACAGAAAGAGGGAATATTTTAAGCAGAAGAAGGGAGGGGGACGCAGATACTCACAGAGGAGTGTGTAGCTTTAAATGGGTTTTCAAGTTCAATTAACATGACATTTTTAATGAATAAGAGGACTAAGTTTTCTTTCACTAATAAATGAAATAATCACAGAAAACCTGGGCAAGAATCTGTCTGTTTAAAATGCATATGAAATTTATTACATCCCTCTAGCGCTGCTCTCAAATCAAATTAGAGCTTCAGTCAAGTGAGATGACCTGCCTAAGACTAAAGAGAAATCCAGGAATATGAGCTCTTTTACTATTACAAATATTATTCTAAGCTTGTTTAAAATACAGGAATATATATTGTTCATACTGTATAATGCAATTTAGATTCGGTTTTTGATCCCGCTAAGAAAGAACAACTAAAAATTAGATTGCCTTAGTATCTCATTTGTTTCTCCAAGACAATGAGGTTAAATGCAAAATGAGACTTTTGGTTAATTTTTATCCTGAAAAAAGACCCCATTAATCTCACATGCTCCTTCTAGAATTTTAGAAGAGATCTCAATATGAACTCAAACATTTCTCATCAAATTCTTCCACAACCAAATGATCTGATATGCTTTCCACATGCATTTTATAGCTCTACACTCTTAAAAATAAAAGTTCCAAAAAGGTTTATTTTGTAGCTATGAAATAGAAGAACCATTTTTGGTTCACCAAAGAACCTTTCAGTGAACAGTTCTTAAAAGAACCATTATTTTCTTATTGTAAACAAAATTTGAAAAATCTAAAGAAGTTTTCTGCTATAAAGAACCTTTTGTGCATTGAAAAGTTTCCATGGATGTTCCTCATGGAACCATCAATGCCAATAAAGGACCTTTATTTATTTATTTATTAACTATTTATTTATTTTTGTCTAGAACTATGTTGCCATTTGATGAAACTGGACTTTTTTTATTACAAGAATCCATGCTAAACCACATATACTTTCTAAAGCATCATGTCCTAATTTCTCTTGGTGCATTCATTTGTATGAGATTTTGTTTGTGAATTTGGAAAAAAATAATGCATTCTTGCTCAAATAAAGCACTCAAATGCCAAACAAAGAAATACTGAACCTTTAGTGGGTTCATGATTTCTTTAAACGCATAAATTAGCACGTAATGTAAGGTTCACATTTTGCTGTGAATGAGAAACCTCACACCAAATGTTTCAGTTCACATAGTGAAGAAGACGCACACTGGGAGCTCTTAGTATGCATCATCTGCACGCAAAGCGGGGCTGCCCTACTTTTGAGAGCACACACAAAAATACGAGATGGTACACAAGTGGGAGTGACCATGGTACATCTAGTATCCTTTTTATTGTCATGAAGCAGAAAAGCACAACATCTGACAGCATGCACTGATGGAAATCAGTTGCAATCATACTGAGCGTATAATGTGGGACACAAATAGCCTTGTGTTCATGCAACAGAACAAATTTGATGCTTATATTTTAAGTAAACAATAATGTGTCTATCTATTATAAATCTAAATAAATGCTAACCAGGTGCACAGGGTGAGCCAGCACAAAAATACAATGCATCAATGTAGTGCATGAGAAATAGACCATGTTATTCAAAGAAGACTGACAGAGGTAGGTTTGAATGGCATCTGACAGCATGTACTGATGGAAATCAGTTGCAATAGTACTGACTGTGCTTAAAAACAGTGTGAGGGAGGGAAATGAGAGGATGAGATTACACAGTGTACATGATGAATAGATCTATGTGCAACAGAAATTAGATTTTTATATTTTCAGTAAACATTGAACATTTTCTTTCATACCCTAAAATTGAGAGGTAGATTAGATTGACATCTAACAGCATGTAATGATGAAAATCTGTTGAACTCATGTCCAGTGTGCTTTAATATTGCATAAGGGAGCCCAATGAGTTAAAATATAAGAACAGGGGTATGCACAGTGTGTAAAGAACAAACGTGCATGCAATCTTATATTTATAAAGTCATAAATACCAATGTGTAAACTTGTTTATTTTTTAAATCACATATATTATTTCATAAGAATGGTTAAGCAGGTGCGCTAACGCAAAACTACAATGCATTAGTGCATTGCATGAAAAACAGACTGTGTTACTCTTAAAAAGACTTTGGTTTGAATTACATCAATGCATTTGAATTACATCAATGCATGCTGTCAGATGTCAATCGCTTGTAATCGTGCTGGCCGTGGTATAGGAGAGACCAGAATGAGTGCAAAGTAAGACCACGCTCTGTGCGTAAAGAATAAATAAATGCGCAACAGAAGAAAATTGATGTTTTCAATTTAAGCAGCCGTGAACAATAACGAGGCAACATATTTTTAGCTCGTAATGCATAATATAACAGTTAACCCATGTGGCCAAAGCCCTCACCAGCCATTCAAAAGCATCGTTACCTTTGTGCATGCCTGTGTAACGGTCCTTGAGGACGGTCAGTTCGTGGATCTTTCCAAACTGTTCGAAAAGAGGTTTGAGGTCCTTCTCCTCCAGGTTGCGCGGGATCTGTCCTATAAAGAGCTTGATGGCATCCTGGTCTTTCATGGTGCCGTTGTCGAGGTGGATGGAGATGGGCTCTGAGCCGTTCATGGGCTTGGGGAATGTGATGTGCGCGTACTGGGGCTGGTGCGGGATCAGGAGCAGTGGTGCCGCTGCCTGGCTCGGTACCGCCCCCGGTCCAGAGAGGAGCAGGCTGGCGTGGGCAGGCTGAGGATGCTGCTGAAGATGCTGCTGCCTCCTCGCTTCAGTCTGGGTGAATCTAGCCATTCTGCGCGCGGCGGAGAGCGCGATAATAATAACAACATACACACGCACGCACACGCGCCGGGAGAGAGTACGCGCTCAGCTGGAAACGCGACGCTCACATTCTATTCGACACATGTCACGCTCGCGCCCCCCGCACCTGACGGGAGGAGGAGATGAGAGCTGTGCGCGGTCACGACTCAAATGCACGGGCCCGTAGCGCCACCTGCCGACCAATAGCCAACTGCGCTACTACACAGTCAGATTTTCTTGTAACAGTATTTTCTTGTAAAATGTACTCCAACAATCTTTGTTGTTGTTACCATTTAAAAAATCACTTGTGTGTCCAAAATAGTAAATAAAACACATCAACTGGTCACTGGGGTTCCTCAGGGATCAGTTCTTGGAACCCTCCTCTTCTCCATATACACTACATCACTGGGACATGGTTCCTCCTACCATTGCTATGCTGATGAAACACAGCTGTATCTTTCATTTCAACCAGACAATCCAATAGTAGCTGCACGGATCCCAGGCAGCCTGGTGGACATCTCGGGCATGGATGACTCAACTTGGCAAAGACTGAGCTTCTCGTCTTCCCTGTCACTCCGACTCTACAGCTTGATTTCACATTCCCGCTAGGTTCATCAACAATTGCCCCATCATGTTTGGTCAGGAATCTGGACTTGCTGCAATCTTTAATGACCAGCTGACTTTCAAAGACCACATTACAAAAAACGCTCGATAATGCAGGTTTGCATTGCACAACATCAGAAAGATCAGTCCCTCCGTCTTGTCCTTGCCCTTGTCATTTCTAGGCCATTTCTCCCTCCTACTTCCACTCGCTCTTACAAGTCTAAATCCCCTCCAGAACCCTGAGATATACAAGTGAGCGAAGCCTCGTTTTACCATCACAGAGATGCACAAAATCCAGAACATTTTTGTTCCTGGCTGGTGGAATGATCTTCCCACCCCCATCCGGAATGCTGAATCCCTGACAGATTTCAAGTGACAGATATATATAAAGAGTACAGATGCAAAAGCCTCTAATTGCCGTCTAAAATTTTCTTCTAAAATGAGCATTTTTATCAGGCTCAGTTATTTCACTTTAATTGCATAGAAAAAAGACCTATATATTGCCAATATATATATATCTTTGCTTTCTCTTTCCTTAATCCCCTGTCTGGCTTGTACTAATCTGAACAATATCTAAAACGTTTTATTATGAGCACTTCCTGTGTTTATTTGCCTCTATGATGAATTGCTTGTTGAATTCCTCAACTGTAAGTTGCATTGGATAAAAGCGTCTGCTAAATGAATAAATGTAAAAAAAAAAAATCGAATAAATTACAAATTGACAAAACAACTTGAACAGCACTGACATCTGTTATGAAATCATTACATTTTTCTATGTATGTTTAGCAAGGTAAATTAGCCAGAATAGGCCTAAGTTTTGATATCGATTGGGGGTAAGTTGACATTTTTTTAAACAATGTCCTCTTTAAAATGATCTTAATATAATTTTGCATATGACAGAGTGACAACATCTCTTTGGAACAAGGCTCTTGTGAATCTATTATGAGGATGGAAAGGAAAACAAATTTCACTTAGGTACAGTAGCTGATCCTCCACCTGCATGTAAACGAACTGACGTAATCGAGGATGTGCACAGCAGAACTACACGTAGTACACGCGTTCTTGACATCACACGGAGGACCAGCAACACGGTTAAGGCTAGAAGGAATAAAAAAATCTGGCTTCTGCCCAATCGATATCTCTTAACAAATAAGGTGAAAGAAGTATCCTTTAAGCATCTCCACAGACTATACCCTGCTAAACATTATTTAATTAAATTTTAAAAAAGATATAGATGTTATCTGTAGCTTTTGCAAGCAGAAGCCGGAGACAGCTGTTAATTTATTTTGGCACTGCCCTTATGTGTCTTTTTTCTGGCTGAATGTACTTGACTTTATTGTTGGAAATGTGGATGGAGATTTTATTTTACAGTGGAAAGATGTTTTTTAGGCATTATTGTAAACTCCAAAAATAAACAGACCTGCACGTATTTTATTTTATTTTTTTAATTATTTTAATGGTTACATATCATATCCATGATTTCATATCCATAAAAAAAAACATGTTTTATAGCATTTAAAAATGAAGTGAAATATTATATTGAATCTATATTACCCTCGAAGAAACAAAAAGCTATTCGCTTAAGGCTAGCGATGAATGTATGGAATGTAAAATCCCAGAAAACACAGGACATATACTGTTATACTGCAATATAAGGAAGAGAGGAATAGTCTAAGACAAAAGATTAATCAGGCTGGAAGAAAATGGAACCTCGAGGTTATATTGGGAAAAACAGGAGCAGGGGTAAAGGATGCATAGAAAGCGGTTGTGGAATATCTAAAAGATATAGGGATATATTATAGGATTTAGTTTTATTGTATTTATTTAGTATGGGTATGGATGTGTGTGTGTGTGTGTGTGTGTGTGTGTGTGTGTATATAGAAGCAATCAAAACTAACAAAAGAATGTAACAACAATATGTAAGTGCAAAAAAAAAAAACTAA